AATTTCCAGTATTACAAAATATGTTACATGTATATAAAGGAAAATATGGCCCTTTAATGCTGAATGGCAGCATCTAAAATACAAGGATGAAGTACATCCAATTTGGCTAAAGGGACTTCACCAAATGCTAAACAATAAATATTTAGCAGAATATAACAGTTTTAAGGAGCCAGATCAAAGTAATACAAGCTAAGAATAAAATGAAAAAATGCTGATTTGCTATTAGCTTAGGTTTGTGTGAGTCTTTTTAGTAAATACTCTCAACTGAGTTCCTTTGTGTTGCTGAAATCTTATTATTATTTAACATTCTACTAGCATAGCTCTTAGGAATCGTAGCCATGGACTCAGAATCCATTGTGCTAGGCACTATGAAAACACAGAACACTGTCTCTGCCCCTACAGAGCTTACAATCTAAGTAGAAGACAACAAGCAACAGATGATAAGAGACAGAGGGAAGAGTACAAGGAAACCGTTAAATAACATGGTCGGCAATACTTTCAAAGCAGATCAGTTACATTGTACCTTGAAGGTAAAGCTGTTTCAACAATTTGATGTAAAGCAGCAATAAAATCACATGTATTTTATAGTCATCCTAAGTGAAACTAAAGTAGTTTTATGGATGCCTGCAGATTCCTAAGAAAGTTATTTTTTTGCAATGATTTTCAGTAAATTACTGCAGAAACAAAACTGAAAATTTAGTGAATCTTTAATTTTATTGTGACTGCAGTTGCATTTGTCTATAAAATTCCATAAACACAGAGGCCAATTTTTAAAATGATTTTGTAAAATTAGATCTCTAAATTCATATTATAACTATGCTCTAATTTAACTATTGGATTTGAAGCAGGAGCTCAGCAAAGTTCTATGATTTGGGTTATACAGAAGGTCAGACCAGAAGATTACAATAGTCTTTTCTGGCCTATAATAGCTATGAGTATCAAGCACTTACATAAGTAGGTTGCTATTAAGAGGTGCTGTGCATCTGTTACGTGTATATAAATTAATGGCAGCTCAGTACCTTTTGAAAGTCAAGTCACTAATATTAGGATCCCACGTTTACAATTTTTGGTCCATATGTATAATTGATATGATCAGAAATACCACCAGGGCCTGATCATTTTCCACAGCAGACAATGGTAACAAGTGTGGACTGCTATTGCTCCATCTCAGCTTTGAGAGAAATGACACTGTTGTACTATGCGATGACAATATTTTAAGCATTAATAGGGAAACATGAAATATTATAAAATATTTTAATGTAAAATGTACATGCTGGATTGATTTAATTTTGAAGTTACTATGGAGCACACAATGATTGAACGGCTATCAATGCCTGCTGTTTTTATAGTGCCTTTCATTCAGATGGATCCCAAAGTGCTTTATGCTTTACTGCACAAGCAAACTAAAAAACAAATGATTATAGTCAATGAGAGGGGGATCAAGGACTATATACAGGGATCACCCCACACAATATTAAAATACAGACATTTACAATAGGAAGCAAAGAATTAGCTATTACTATATCCAGTTGAAACTGCGGAGGGTATTCAAATCAGAATGTCATTACTCTACTTATAATTTGGTTAGGACATTCCACTCCATAAGTCTACTGGTAGAGATAGAGTTAAGTTGATCTTTTGGAAGGAAGCCCACAAGTTGCAAATTATTTTGCAGATTAATGTTGTTTTGCTGTTTTGTAGGTTCTCTGATTGTAATATTGGCCTATAGAGAACATCCAGAATGTAGAATCTTTTCAAACATTGTTTTCCCCCCTCATGACCATGTTGTGAATGATTAATGTTGGGGATGATAACGAACATTATTTGAAGGATTATTAGATACATTATGGTCCATTAGATTTTTCAATTACTACTTTTGAACATTTCCGTTTGTTTTTCAATTTACATATGCCAACAATTCAAAAGCATTTTGAACATGTAAAACCTTCTTCACCACGCTACAAGGCTGCTACTTGCAGCTAAGTCTTCTTTTTTCTAGGTATAATATTACATTCATGTATACAAATTCTGTAATAATGTATATGCTCCAGTATAACATTAAATATTATCACCAGAAGCTCCTTGGGGTAAAGAGGAGGCAGAAGAGGAAGTTTGCCAACACTGTTAAGTCACAATATAATCTTTATCTGCTGTTGTAAATTTCCTCTGAGCCTCCATCTTTTCATGACAGAATTGTACCCTTTTCAAGTATCTCTAACCTGCACTAATTGTTGTATTTATATTTGAGTAACATTCTTAGGAATGGTTAGTCATTGTTTCTAAAAAGGCAGCCTTGTAGCGTTGGTTTACTGGTGTTTGATTTTGTTTTTTACTTCAAGTTAAACAGCAGATGCCACAACACTGTAGAGACCAGGAGAGATATGTAGCTGATAGAGATGGTGTTTCTTGAGCCCAGGCTTTTAGCGTTACAGTTGTTTGAATAACAACAATGAACGCTCACTCCAGGTGCTTTGGATCCATCCCTTCTTGCCCGTTCACAGAATGATTTGAATGAACAGGACTTCATAAGACCACCTACAACAGAGCCACATTTAATCCAAAACATAAGAGGTTCAGGTTTGCTTGCTTGTTTTGCTGTCTTATAAACAGGAATCTAAACATCCAGTGATCAAACATAATGAAGAGACAAGCATAATAACAATCATTCTGCTGTTATGGCATTTTTATGAGTATGAGTTTATAAACATTAATTAATTCCAAAGTTTGCTATTTTATCTCATCTCCAATAATGTACATCTACATGGTGTGCTATAGTGCATTAATAAGAAGAATTTAATATCTACCTATATTTTTATTGTCATATTTCTGCTAATCCATATATAATAAGAGTTAAGATTTGTTAACAGTACTTAAATAGAGAGAGAACATATTTAACTACAGGTACCTATATTTTCTCATCATCTGAGTAGCTTCTTCTAGCCAACTGGTAATTTAATTCTCACAGGAATCTCATAACAGAAAGTAATAAATATGATGCTTTTTGGTCACAATTTTGTATCTACTTACTTGCTTGTCCTCTTATGACTGCACATGCATCTGAGAGCCCTGGGCATTGCTGAGTTCCTTGTCTGTTACATTCTTCATCACTAGAACCTACACAAGTATAACATTGCAGTGCTTCACCTGTCATTAAGAAAAATTACTTTAAATAGGTATTGCTCCTGAGCTTGTCAAGGTGTTTTAGAAGGTAACTGTTCAATTTCCTCATTTAACTTCTGTCTGGAGCAAACACTGAAAATAGCTAATTAGTTATGCTGGATTTTTAAGTTGCAACATGCCCAAGGATTTTTCAAAATCCAATCAAATTTTATTTCTCAGATTTGGATCTCGATTGCTTATAAAGACATACGATCTGTACACTGCTTTGGTTTTGATGGGGGGGGAGGGGGGGTTTACACATAATGAGACATCTTAAACACATTTAATTGTACTGAAATAGGCTTTACTCCTTTTTGTAGCAATGAGGAAATGAATTCCACTAAAACAAACAGGAAGTATAACATTCATTTTTGTCTTCTTCAGTTTACAGTATTGTAAACAGAATACACACCTCAGATCTGTGAACATCTATTTGTCATCGGGGCTAATTTTCCCCTGACATATCCAATTCATTTGAAATATTATGACAATGACACATTAAAAAGTACAAAATACTGTTTCCTGCAATGCTCTTAGCTAAAACTTTACAGTGACAATTTTATTCATTCTCATTCCTCCCAGTGCTGACCCACAGTATAAACTGTATAGTAGTTTTAAACATAGGCATACATTTGAATGGAATTAAAACTTGCAAAAACAAAAAGGAGCTCTTGCTGTCCACTGGAAAGCAGGCATTACAATTAACATGTTAGATAAAATTCTGCTCTGTTAGCCACAATAATAAAATAATTTCATAGCACACAAAATAATGGAAAGATAAGACAGGCAAAGATTAATAACAAAGATGCTGAACTCTCTGCATGTGTCTGAAGGCAGAGAACAAAACCTGAATTGACAGAAATTACTTACTTTTGATTACAAAAAGCAAGCTAAGAAGAACCAGGCTGAAGGTTGTCTTCATCATGGATATCCAAGAGATGTACCCATTAGACAAAGAAAGCAGTTTGACTGTCATTAAAGCCCTAATGCTTGTCTTACATACCTAATCCTCTATAGAGGATGACTTAGAGGATGAAGAGGTGTGCAGAATGCTACTTATATAGCTTATTCTGGTTATACTTCTAACCAGATGTACTTGTCCATTTCTATAGGGCAAATTGTTAAAATAAAATCAGGAAGTAAAATGCAGTCACTCCTTACCTTAAATATACTCAGTAGTATATATTGTACTATTTTATATTATACTTTTATAAAAAATTATCCTACAACGTGTTACTCATAAGAGTAGTCCCATTACACACCTGTGAGGGTGCTTTGCTGAGTCAGGATCAGAATTCTCAGTGCCATTTAGGATTAAGACCATGTAGACATGCCTACAAGGCCCAAATACAGGTTGATCCTCTCTAGTCTAGCACTCTCAGGACTTTACCAGTGCTGAACAACGGGAGGTCAATACTGTCCAACATCATTACCAACACTTCCGCTGCTTACTGGGCTCTGAGAAGACATCTGGGGTCAATTAGAGATAAATAGCTGCACTGAATACACACTTCTGAGCCAGGACTAGTGACTGTAAACACATTTCATAGGACCACATGAAACTTGGTTACATCCATGATAAGTGAACATCTGGCTAACTAAAATCATGCCGGACTATGGATATTGCTGGAGCCAGAGAGTGTTGGATTAGAGAGGTTCAAACTGTACTTATGTACCTGAGCAAATTTACTCTTGTAAACAGTCCCATTAATGACAATGCTCATGTGAGAAAAGATACCCGTGTGTAAGTTATGTGAGCAGAATTGGCATTTCCTTTTACCATGTTTCTGGCATTACATGTAGAAAAAAAGCACCAAGTCAATGAAATAAAATCATGCTTATTTTTAAGTTTCAACGAAAAAATTTATTTACAATAGAATTTTATTTGAGAGACATGCTTTTTTTCCCACTTTTTATTTTATTTTACAAATCAACAAATGCAGATCAAGTTTACACTCCTTAAGGCAAGAGTCCCCATGCAAGTAATACATGTTTATATTAAATCCAAAAGACATCCAACATGGGAACTCATGTACAAAGGGAAGGCTAGGATCAGCAATTTGTAATTTATTAGAGAACTTGACCATCTCCCTGATACAGGAACTTTGAGATCAACTTGCTATGAAATATATGAAAATGCAAACGATAGCAAGAAATTCTGATAGTCATCTTAGTACTGCATACAATTAAATCAACTTTATTTAGAAAGAAAATACAGTAGTGCATACGAAAAAGTGAAAATATAACCTGTCCACATCAACGTATGGACATCAGTGTGCCAATGGTCATATTGCACTCAATGTTGAAGTCCACAAATTTGGTTAAAAGTTAGCTTTTCCCCATTTTGGCAATCAGTTCATCACAAATCTTTGTTAATTCTTCTATCTCTTTATTCTAAAAAAAGAATGAACAAGCAAACAAATTAATAGTGCAAAATGTCTTTTAAAAAGATACATTGAAAAGGAAACATTTGAGCATCTTTTGCTTTTATTATTATGTGATCTTAGGAGAAACATCTTTTTCATCACTAATAACAAAAAAGATAGAAATGCACTAATAAATCTCAAATACAGAAGATTGCTATATATGAAAGAGCAACACATTCAAAGAGTGTGCTTTTTTATTTTTATTTGGATTTTTTCTACTTTAATAAGTTCAATTTATCATCAAGGAATGCTGAGTCACAGTGATAACGTCTTGTACATTAAGATAAAAATATGAGCTGAAAAAGATTAAATGTTGGATTATTCTTGTCTGGATTTTTCTTTATTTCCTTTTCTAAGGAATCCTAATTACATTGAAAGTGAACTATTTACTGGTTTAGAGAATAAGATAGGTTTCTTCTAAACACTGATGCCTTAAATTCCCTATATTTGTAGCTGATTGTTCTGTGTCTGTACTAGAGATGTGAAGGACTAGTCAACTCTTTGATAAGCAAATACGTATCGGATAGTCGACAGGATAGTCGTCTAGGCACTTCCCCCCATCCCTTGCTCTCTCTATCAGATAGAGGCAGCAAGGGAGGAGAGGGAGGAAGCAGTCCGGGCACTTCAAAGTGGTGGTGCCGCTTGAAGCCTGGGGCCAGTCCTTGGGCTCCATGCGGTGCTGCCGCTTTGAAATGCCGCCTGCACCTGAGGACCAGCTGACCCCAGCAGTAACCAACTGACCCCTGGCTCCACATGGCACTTTTGCCTTTGAAGTGTAGCAACAGCCCTCGGGCTGCCATTTTACCTGGGTGAGAGGAGGTGAGGAGGCACCTCCTGCTGTGCCTCCTCCTAGCGCCACCTCAGCCCCAGTGCTGCCGCCACAGCCCAGCAACCAGTGGTTTGAGGACCAGCACCAGACCATCGACCAGTGATTGGGAACCGCTGATCTAGGTGTACTTGATCCTGCCTCAATGTAAGATCCTGTCTTACATTTCTATGGTTCTGTGATGTGTGAGTGCACTATAGAGAAGAAGGTACATGGAACCTCTCCCCATTCCACTGTCTTGCCTCATCCAGAGGGTACCAGACAGGAACTTCTACCTAAAATTAAAGGGCATACTAGTGGGAAGTCCAATTGCTACAAGTGCTAATGCTACACATCTTCAAAGGGCCATGGTTAGATTGTGAATATGAGCAGGCTTAGGCCCAGAGATTAAATAGCACATATATGCTAATTTAAAAAACAACAAGGGGCACCTCCAATTATATGTTATCCCATGCCTGACTCAGTTTCCACCACCTCTCCACCCCATGTGGCCTGACAACACTGTTCACAACATGCTTGACTCAGTTTCCACCACCTCTCCACCCCATGTGACAACACTGACAACACTGACAACACTGTTCACAACATGCGTCTTCTCTGAAAAGTAGCCAGGGATCCTACCAGAAACTGCTAATAATTGTGAGACTGTTAGTTATGTAAATGCAAATACATATGCATGACTTAAAAAAAAAAGAAAAGGACAAAAATTGGTGCAAGTACATGATTTTAAAACAAAGCGAACCACAAATTAACCACAAATCCTGTGTACTAAAAAAATCTTTCAGTGAAAAGAAAACAGATGTAGCTTCATAAATGTAACAAGAAAATACACAATTTCTAGCTCAGTATATAACACATAATGCATTTTATAAAGAAGCACGTATGATACACACAATTTTCTTTCTTTAGCCTGCAAATTATTGTCGGAAAGTCATTCTGTGACTCTAGATTTTTTCAGACAGATTAACTGCCCTACTTAGAGCAATTGGTGCTAGCAAACTGCACCACAGCAACTGAGTTTAGTGTTAGAATAGAAATGCTTAGTTACCTTTTGTTCCAGTGTTCTTTCCAATGCATCCACTTTCAGCTGCTCTTTACGGAGACTGGCCTGATACGCTGCTTGTTCTTGCTGAGCCTTGCCTCGGACTTGTGCAATTTCAGCATTGGCTCTATAGAAATACAGATTGCTCTGGTGAATGTTAATTCTTGCAAATTCTTACGGCTAACAGCTAAAACAGATGAAGCAGATGAATGTGGATGGGCAGTTGCTGGGCACCATTTTGAATGTGCCCTTCAAGCTTTAGCCTGACAGCCACCATCCAGTAAGATAAGAAGATATTTCTGTTGCGTTGCTTCTGGTCTCCCTTGAATAAAGACTGTGAAGCTGTGTGATTGGGCAACAAAATGGCAAATGAAATTTAATGTGGATAAGTGTAAAGTAATGCACATTGGGAAAAATAACCCCAACTATACGTACAGTATGATGGGGGCTAATTTGACTACGACAAATCAGGAAAGAGATCTTGGAGTTATCATGGACAGTTCTCTGAAAACTTCCACACAGTGTTCAGCAGTGGTCAAAAAGGCAAATAGGATGCTAGGAATTATTAAGAAAGGGATAGAAAATAAGACCCAGAATATCTTACTGCCCCTGTATAAAACTATGGTACACCCACATCTTGAATACTGTGTACAGATGTAGTCTCCTCACCTCAAAAAAGATATTTTGGCCTTGGAAAGGGTTCAGAAAAGGGCAACTAAAATGAGTAGGGGTTTGGAACGGGTCCCATATGAGGAGAGGTTAAAGCGACTGGGACTTTTCAGTTTAGAAAAGAGGAGACTGAGGGGGGATATGATAGAGGTCTATAAAATCATGAGTGGTGTGGAGAGGGCCGATAAAGAAAAGTTATTTATTAGTTCCCTAAATAGCAGAACTAGAGGACACCAAATGAAATTAACGGGTAGGAGGTTTAAAACGAATAAAAGAAAGTTCTTCTTCACACAGCGTGTAGTCAACCTGTGGAACTCCTTGCCAGAGGAGGCTGTGAAGGCTAGGACTATAATAGAGTTTAAAGAGAAGCTAGATAATTTCATGGAGGTTAGGTCCATAAAAGGCTGTTAGCCAGGGGATAAAATGGTGTCCTTGGCCTCTGTTTGTCAGAGGCTGGAGAGGGATGGCAGGAGACAAATCACTTGATCATTGTCTTCGGTCCACCCTCTCTGGGGCACCTGGTGCTGGCCACTGTCGGTAGACAGGATACTGGGCTAGATGGATCTTTGGTCTGACCCAGTACGGCCATTCTTATGTTCTAATGTTAAGCTGTTTGTATCAACTGTGCTAACTGTTCTAGTGCCACAAAACTAATTTCACTTGAAGCTCTTTATAAGCCTTTGATCAGGAACCCCTCTGGTCTCCATAGACTAGACTGACACGGGGAGAGCACTGGAGAAGTGAAACCAAATGTCACTTCATTTTCGACATAGGACAATGCCTCGTGTGTGTCTTCATTCAGGCAGTGATCAGAGTGAAGTATAAGCGGGCACTAGGAACACTCACTATATCTTACCACGCAAGCAAATAAACCCTCTGAAGCGGTCTTAGAAGGAAGGATACTGCACAGAGCACCATTATAATTTGCCCTGTTCTCTGTAAATGGTGAGGCTAGTACAAGTGTCTCTCTCTATTCTGGCACTCTCTGAACCTGACTAGTGCTGAAGCAGAGAATTTACTTAATCACTGGAGGACAGTATTGTCTAGCATTACCAACACCTCTGCTGCTTACTGGGCTCTTGAAAGACATTGGCTGTGTCTACACTGGGCCACTTATTCTGGAAAAGCAGCCGTTTTTCTGGAATAAGCTGCGAGCTGTCTACACTGGCCGCTTGCTTTTCCAGAAAAGCAATGACGATCTACTGTAAAATTGTCAGTGTTTTTCCAGAAAAACAATGCTGCTCCCGTTCGGGCAAAAGTCCTTTTCCGGTAAAACTGTTCCGGAAAAGGGCCAGTGTAGACAGCACAGTAGTCTTTTCCGCAAAAAAGCCCCGATCGCGAAAATGACGATCGGAGCTTTTTTCCGGAAAAGCGCATCTACATTGGCCACGGACGCTTTTCCAGAAAAGCATGCTGCCAATGTAGACGCGCTTTTTCCGGAAATACTTATAACGGAAAACTGTTCCGTTTTAAGCATTTCCGGAAAAGGGTGCCAGTGTAGTCGTAGACATTTAGTGGTATATTAGAGCTAAATATTAGCATAGGACTGATGGCTGTAAACAAACTTTATGGGACCGCAGGAACTTGACCACACCCATGGTAAGTGGACATCTGGCTAACAAAAATCATGCTGGACTACGGATGTGGCTGGACTAGAGTGTGCTGGACTAGAGAGATTCAAACTGTATTTGGTAGTTAGTGCTCACTTAAGGCCATGGATATCCACCCCCGAAGAAAAAAAAATAAATAAAGAAAAACTACTGATGATTTAGAAGCCTAAGCTCTCCCCAACACAGATGAACATGCAGTCTGTAAGGTAAAATATAGGCACACAGTGCTGCAAGTCAAAAAATATTAGGCCTATTTATTGAGCATGTTTGTGTAATCTAAACATCTGAAAAGGGAAACACTTCAGCAATTACCTGTCCAGTTTTTCTTCTGCATGAACTTTGAGTGCCTGATACCTCTGCTCCTCTTTCTTTACTCGTGATAAATACTCCTGTGCACATTTCTTTAACACTTCTTCATTCTTAAATGAGCAGATTAAAACATCAATGACATATCAATAAACAAGGTGACAGTGATGAAATTATATGACAAACTTCTGTAGCAATACAATGCTACACATACAGGTCATCTTAGGCAAATTGCGCTTTGTAGGTTGTACTGGAGTGAAGTTATTTTTTGTACAGGATTGGGTAACCCCATTCTATGCCCTGTGCAAACTTATAAGACGATATGGTTCTCCATCAGAAGAATTTACAGACTGAATTCCAACAATGCTAGTTAGGCGTGAGCCATCTCTTATCAAATGGATAATTCAAATCATCATTAACACAACATATACTAAAGTTGAAGGGAGGATATATGCCAGAAAGTTGTTCTTCTGTAACACTATACATCTTGAGCTGTTGCCTCCTAACCAAGCATACACACATACATACCCATACATCCTATACACAATTACACTCTAATTTGTAACTTGGACAAATGATCAAAATAATGAAAATACTTAAAGGTAAGCAATATTTATATATATATTACAAGAGAGTTTCTTTGGAATTTTGGAATGAGGAGAATTTAAACTGAACAATATTTTACTTACTTTCCGAAATCCCTCCAAAACCTCTTTCATTTTTTCGTATCTCCTAAATAAATCTGCCAGAGATTTCTCCACTGAGTTCAGGTCTGCCAAAGCTTGTTCCTTCTCTACTATCAGCTGCTGAACAGTATGATGGGAGACTGATTTCTCTCTCTGTTCATCCTCTGTAAAAAAAGAAATGTGTAGAATGGGTTATTTTAAGGACACCGAATGACTATCACCTGAAGTCTTTAGGATACTATGCTGTGTGGCTTGTATTGCTATTTAAGTGTCTGAACTGAAGCCAGAAAAAGCATTATAAAGAAGCATAGTCCTATGCTCAGGGTAATTTCTCTAGTTGTAGTATTTGATGTACAAAACAAATGTGATTATAACTTGAAACTTCTTATTTATATAAAACATTATTTGTAATGCTCAATCTTAATGCCTTCTGGCATAATGAATAATCCAATGCAAAATGCTGGCTTCACTTAATTCTACACAAGTACTACTGTTGAGAAATTAGACATACGATTTTACTGGGCATTGTAGGCCAAAGCAAGTCAGGAAATCTGGCACCAGATTTACATTTTCTGAATGCATGGTAAACATAGGAGTCAAATCCAACACCATCTTTTTTGATCCTCATCTCTGCAACTTCAGAACTAGGAATGAAGTCAGAGAAGAGCCTGATTCTCTATGAAATATTCTACCGTTCTTTTCTTCAAATGATGACTCAAAAGATAAACTGGGACCTCTTCATAACTATAGAAAGGAAGCTCCAATAGTCAGTTTATTAAAAGGCTTCATTTTTCATACCACAACTACAATTCCAATCTCCCATATTTCAAAGTGCATTCTGAATAGTTACACAGAGATGAGGTCATTAGTTCTTTTGCACAAATAATAGTACATTTTAAAAACTGCAACTTTCCAAACCTCTTTTTCACACAAACCATTTAGCCCGACTGTGTTCTGACATATGGCACACAGCTTGATTTTTAAGGTGAATTGAGGTTGTAGTTAAATAAACTTTTTGAAATGCAGTTCAACTCAGAAATGTGGCAACATAAAAGTGGCACTCTCATACCCAGACCATCTGTTCCTTCTGGATTTTCTACTGCATATTTTGTTAGCCTCACTGAGCCAATGCAGTTAAGAAAAAGTGAACTGGTTTTCCATCTTGTCCATCAACTGAAAATGGTTTTTAAAGGTCCAGTGAATAAGTTTGTGCAAACTCACTGACAGCACTGGCATTACGCAAGTGTGACTGAGGGCATAATTTGGCTTGCAGAATTGTTATGGGAGATGTATGATGCAAAACCAGAGAGGTTCTCATGACGAATTAGCTGGCATGAGAATTAGAATAACATTCTTTCACTTCTAAACCGTACACACTGGCAAAGGAGAAATCACTAAGAAGCATTGAACTCCACAATACCATATCAGTTTTCAGAGTTTCCCTATAATAATATTTCAGAAAACACTGTTAAGAAATTCTAAGTACGTGTTTCAACTGTGCTCTTTAAAATATATGCTGTAAATATCTACAGTCACAAGCAAATAAAGGTGTAACGGGGCAGCCCTCACCTCCTGCAAGCACCCACCTCTCCCCAGGAGAATGCATGTGCCTACACTCCCTTTTGTTTAAAAGCCTCTTCAGCAACTTAGCCCTCCAGCTGAGTCACACATCCTGTGTGTGAAGTACACAACCCCCTTTTAGAGTACACATCTACCAGGGGACCATCTCAGTGCCCTCTCTAGTGTTCCCTCAGTCTGTTCCTTACATCTACCAGGGGACCATCTCAGTGCCCTCTCTAGTGTCCCTCTGAGTCTGTTCCCTCAGTCTGTTCCTCACTCTGGCATAGAGAGTGGTGCCCTAAGAGCTTCTCCTCCTGGAGGCAGTACATCCCCACCCTTTCCTTAGGGCTTATCTCAGAGTCCCATCATTGTCCAGTCTTCACTAAGCTCTCCAAACAGAGCTATCTGCAGGGCTGCTGTTCTCTCAGCCAGCCAGTCACCCAGTATATACACCTTGAGGTCTCCAGAGGCACTGACTCTGGTCCTGCAGCTCCTTTTATAGGGCCTTCCTGGCCCCTGATTGGCCACTTCTCCTGCAGCTACTCTAGTCCATTTAGAGGACTTTTCTATTGCCTCTCTGAGGCAGGTATGACAGGACCACATGGCCTCCGGCAGAGGGCCTCAGAGCCTGATCCACCCCAAAAAGGAGAACCATTTTCATTTTTCATCCCTCATTTATTTTCAGTCTTCTTAGGGGTCTTCTGCTGAAGTCCTGTCATAATGTTAGTTTTCATTTCTGTTTTTTTTTTTTTAATGGAACATGGGCTACTTGAAGACCTGACCCTGAAATATATCTGCAGCTACAGGCTAATTCTCCTGCACAAAATCTCACCTCCTTTTGATTCCATGCCATGGAATCTCATGCAGGATCAACATAAGAAAACAAAATTTTGCCTTTTTCACTGTCAGCATTTACACTAATCCCTATGCTATTTCAGTGACTTCTTTTCGCTTCTGTCTCTAGGGCAGTTCCTTTTCCTCCATCTTCTTGAATCTTGGCAACCTTCCCTACATCAAAAAGGGTTGGACCAGCTCCCACTAAAGCAGATTACCATCATCATGCTCTTCAGATGGCTGGTGACAATTAGAAGAGAGTGATATTTGTGTTCAGTTCATCTCCCTCATGTCTTGCATGCTGTCCCTGTCATGCCTACATCTGGTCAGGTCCCAGACATAAATCCCAAAGAAGAGGAGGAATTATTTAGATGATACAAAGCAGTATTGGAGAAAATGAAAATTAAGAACATCAGGAAACTTAAGAACAGTGTTCTAAGGGAAAGGTTGAAAGCCCCACTGCTTGAGACATTTTAAACAGGGTAGGACAAAGTGTGACTATATAGTATGGAAACTAATCCAGTATTGGCTGGGATGAGGCTGGAAGACCTAATAGATATTTTTTTATGCCTTAACCTCAGTGACTCCTGTATTCAATAGTACTGTGCAGCTAATAAACTGTCAGCAAAATCCTTGTTAGAGTACTGTTTACAATTCACAAATAAGAAACTCCTCCTTCGTACTTAGTATCTCTTTCATACAAATATTTCTATCAAACAGATACTATCAAAAGTAAGATATTACCCAATATCTTTCAAACATGTTTTTCAGTCTCAGTTAATATCTGCATTATTTCATGGGGATGCAACAAATACAAAGAATAAAAGCAAATAAAAAAGCAATATGTCAAAAGTTGGTGAAAAGCGTTACTTACCAGGTTTGCCTGTTTATTTGTTTTGCAAGCAAATAGCAAGAAGCAACAAAAATGGAAGCAAAATAGAAAATCAGGGAATTTGTTAGGAAAGCAGAAATAAATTAATGCTCAACAACCTGTAATGCAGAAAGCATAAAATTCTTTTGTTTTCAAGATTTTTTTAACTTTGAAATGTATAAATATTTGGAGAGAAAATTGAAAATACATTTCAATGCAAGGATGAGAAGTAAACATAAAATCGAACAGTAGGGAAAAATTATAGATGATTATGATGCTCATGAAAGTGAAGGAACATTATGAAATGCATCTTTCTACAATGGGCCAGGACAAATTCTATATATCACTTACGTACTGCAGAGTGGTAGATTTTATAAATGAGAGTTGACAAACCCAGTGCAGAAAAAACAAGGGCACTGAAAGCCCTCTCACACAGTTCAGCTGATCTACTCCATTCCTGAGCTGCAACACGATTACTAATCCATGCTATGAGCCTTTCGTGACCACAGCATGCCAAGGGGGGGGGAGGGTATGTATGTGTCTCTGTGTGTGTACAAACGTGTAACAGATGCTAAGGTAAACTGGAATTGATTTAATGAAAAAGGAAGCAAAGGCATACAACCTTTCCCCGAGTTATGAATGAGTTATGGACCAAACACTTGGCTGTAACTCGATCTGTTCATAATTCGGACCCCATTGAGTTATAGTGACCGTGATGTTCGTAAGCGCAGGTCACGTTCATAACTCAGGGACCACCTTTACGACCGCTCCATGGGAGCTTTGATCGTAAATGTGAACGGTCGTAACTCGACCATTCGCAACTCGGGGACCGGCTGTATGCAAAAAAGCACTAATTGGGTATAGAGCTATGTACTGAAAGCTACAGTGTTCATGCCCACACAGTACAGATCATTGAATGGAATTACTTGGATGAGTTAAAATAGAGCAAAATTTGTCTCTATGGGTATGTCTACACAGCAAAGTTATTTCGGGATACCAGAGGTATCATGAAATAGCTACCACGTGTCTTTTGAATGCATCCACTATTTTGAAATATAGCAGATATGCTATTTTCCCATCCCTGTAAACCACATTGTACGAGGAGTAAGGGATGGCTCAAAATAGCATTGTATTTCAAAATTTGGCACTACGTAGATAGCACCAAATGACGAAATAAGCTATTTTGAAATAGACTCTTTTAGAAATAAGTTATTTTGAAATAGTGTAGCGCAAATTGCTTATCTTATTTCAAGTTTAGGGTGCTGTGTAGATGCAACCCTATACTGTAGGGCTACGTCTAAACTGGCATGATTTTCCGGAAATGCTTTTAACGGACAAGTTTTCCGTTAAAAGCATTTTTGGAAAAGAGTGTCTAGATTGGCAGGACGCTTTTCTGCAAAAGCACTTTTTGCGGAAAAGCGTCTGTGGCCAATCTAGATGCGCTTTTCCGCAAAAAAGCCCCGATCGCCATTTTCGCGATCGGGGCTTTTTTGCGGAAAACAGTACTGTGCTGTCTACACTGGCCCTTTTGCGTAAAAGTCTTTCGGAAAAAGACTTTTGCCCGAACGGGAGCAGCATGGTATTTCTGGAAAAGCACTGACAATCTTACATGAGATCGTCAGTGCTTTTCTGGAAATTCAAGCGGCCAGTGTAGACAGCTGGCAAGTTTTTCCGGAAAAGCGGTTGATTTTCCGGAAAAACTTGCCAGTCTAGACACAGCCTAGGTATAAACTCGCAAATTTAGACTCTGCCCCTGCTCACATTGAGGTCATTAAAGAGTTATATATAGAGAGAAGACATTCTAGAAAAGCTCTATTGACCTAACTGAATATTCCTTCAAAGGGATTAGTGAAATAGCTTCAGTTGTGATTAAGTCGATTTCTATTAGATGGCTTTATAAAGCGATCAGAAGGATTCAGTCATAAATAGAAACAATTCAGACGAGTGGACTCATGTTGAAGAACACAATTTTCCTTAGTTTGTTTTACCATTAAGGCTGCATTGCTTGCAAAAACAATAGATTCCTAGCTTTTCGTAAGTATAGGTAAAGTATATTGCCAACCAGCTTTTTCTACGTCATCTGACTATTCCTTATTCAGTTAAGTGAGCTCATCTTAATCCAAAATTAATGACATAATTTAGAGCTATACCTTTGCAAAACTCTGCTACAGATCCTATTTTGACACAATCTGACACAGTTCAAGCATCATCAACAACTTGTATGAATTCAAAGTATAAGGACCTTGCTGTTTGCTCAGTGATCAGAGACCAGGAATTTTAATTATTCTTCATTTGTTGGGAATATTGACGAAGAAAACAGCTGCAGTCCTGGGAATGTAATGTTTCACAGTGACACTACTTCACTGACAGCAATTTCCATTAATCAAACATTGCATGATGTAACACTTAATCCAATGTATCAGAAAAAGGAGTACAGACATCCCAGTCATAGGTGCCTTAACAGGCTAATTATAAAACAAACAGGAATAACTTTGACTGAGATATGTAGTTATTAATTTACTTTTTATTTATACATTTCAAACACTGACTGCTCACTGTCAGACAAAGGCTAATGGTGTTAACACCACAGTAAACTGCAATCTGAAAAACTGGGTGTGCAGTTTTAAGTAAGCCATCTATAATGGAAACTCATTTGCCACTACCTACAGTGTCCCCTTTTTCGTGTGCTGTACATTTCGTTGTACCATGATTATTTTTTAGTAGTAGTAGTGCTATGCTGTCTAGTCATGGACCAAAATCCCTTTGTATAGATCCGAGCCCTAACTCAATAAAAATGGTTACACTGAAATCACTGTGTAAATATAAATATGGTAGAAAAATAAATTGCCCTAAGTAGCTGAAAAGCAGAACTTGAAACAGTCATAACTGAAAAAGAATATTTTGGTAGCTAACTACTCAAACTGGGTTGGGAGAAAATGACAGATGTAGGATCTGACCAAAGTACAAGCCAGGTAAGACTGAAGAACTTTCAGTGTTTCTGGTGTGGAAGTTCATTCCAGTGTTGATGCAGAATGTATCAAAACATGAAAAATGAACATATATCCTCAGCCTCCCTGACTATGTGCTACAAAACCCTAAAAGGAAGGCCTATCTGGAGTGCTGGATGAATCTGACACAGGAAAAGCCAGATCGCTCCCGGGATAGATGAATCTTGGACATGAAACACAAGAAGTAATATCAGATTGTATGAGATCACCAAAATCACATTTGGAAGACTGATTCTCCATAGTACTGAGCCAGTTTTATGCCGTTGCATCTCTAACAACTTCACTGGAGACATCTCAGCATAAATCTAGTGTAAAATAGTGAAGAATTCAGCCTGATGTGTATTCTGATCATGTGATTACAGCCTATGCATTACCAATGGTTGGGCACCAGCCAAAGGCAATCCAAAGTAAAGCTCTAAAATTCAAAAGGGCAGAAGAAGTTAGGTCAACATTCCTTGAAGAGGAATTTAAGGCCTTATTCTGGAGTCACTTCTGCAGTTCTTAGTTAAATTTTTCACACTGATGGCAAGAGAGAGCTCAGCGCTGCAGTGAATGATATTAGTGACCTCCCTAAGCCTCTTCAATGTAGATGAAAAGAAGCTGAGTTCTGCCAGTGCAAAAATAGACAAATTATTTTATTTTGATACTATTCTTCTTATTCTTTTGCCTTGGGAAAAACCAAACAAATCCTATTATATACACCTGTGTATATGAAACATGTTTACCTCATACTCTAAGTCTCTTACTCCTTTAACAAAATCCAGCCCATAGTACATGCAGGGAAGTGCTAACATTATGAAAATATTACCTTACTGTTAATTATATTAATGTATAGGAAATGATAAAAATAACCAAAGTATTGGGGGTCATGCAGTATGATGCACAAACAATGGAAAGTATCAGCGTAACACAATGCATTTATAAATGTCAATGATTATTATGTAAGTAGATGTAATGAAAACATTTCTCATTACCAGTCTATCTGTAAGGCAGAGGCACCTACAAATTCCATGTCGCACATCATACAGCATTTTACCATGACCATTCTCTGCTATAAATGCCATATTCAAAAGAACATTAGAAATACACTGAGTATATTACAATACAACCACTTTCCTCTCTCTTGGATGAAGTCATTAGCCTGAGCTGATCTCTCTTCTGAAGCTCATATTTCAAAAGAAAGAGATATAAATTCATTTCTGATTGGACTGCTTTTCCTGGCCCAAATGAAGTGTCCTGCTGGATATAACACTAGCTACCCCCTCCACCATGTGCTGAAAATCTATAAAAAGAAAAACTTAAAAAACAACAAATAGTCTGGTAGCACTTTAAAGACTAATAAAATAAGTGCTACCAAACTATTTGTTGTTTTTTAAGTTTTTCCTGTTACAGACTAACTCAGCTATCCCTCTGAAGCTATAAAAAGAAAGCCAGAGTCGGAAGATAAGGGTATTATAATAGTGCCTTTTGACCTAGGTCTAAAGTGCCAGAATAGTCTGGAAATCTTATAATTTCTGCTTTTGAGAAACTTTGTAAGTAATCTTTTATTTGAAAGACATTTTGTGAAGAGATATTTTTCAGCTCTTCTTGGGGTAGATCTTGTCATAATTTATATTCCAAACTCCCTTATAAGTCACTCAGGATTTGGCCCCTACTGATCTCATATATAGGAATGGAGTAAATTCACGTGTTTTGGGGGATAAATGTTCCTAACAAACATGGCCTCTGTTGGTGTGAAGAACCAACTTTTGTTACTAGAAGTTAAGAAAAAAGATGTGTGTCTAGTACAAATAATTCAAATTACACAAATGTCTTTCTGCAAGAGATATTCATGAATCTCACCCAAAACAGTTGTGCATTCTGGACATATTTTTTATAAATAGGTTACTTGAGTGTAGAAGAGAGACCGGGGACAATCTTGAATGCTTCAGGTTGTAGTATCTGCATTTTTTTCCCCAGCTTAAACTAGTGGCACACAATTCCTCCCTTTAATGTATATACAGTTCTCATTTATATCAACAGTTCAACAAGTATATCCCAGTCAATAAACATATTTCTGTATTCTCCTCAGAGTCCAGAGTAGCATGTTCCACAGTGGTAACACCTACCTATCATCTGAGCAATCGTCTTCTCATATTCTGAAACTATTTTCCTATAAGAAAAATGAAAAGAAAAGCCATATGTGCAAATGTTATAGTTGCTAATTATTTACTTGAATAACATGGCTATTAAATAACTATATTTCTATACCATAGCAAAATGCAATACAGATCCAATTCAGACACTCTTAGAAGCTGTATAAATTCTTGTACTTTTTTGTTTGCAGCTGTTAAACTATTAAATATATGAAACAAATGTAACTGAGCAATGAATTCAATGCAACCAAGCATCTGAAATGTTGATTTAATTTTTTCAATTTGTCATTTGAATATAAAAGGAAGAGAGGTATTCACAATAACCTTAAAGTACTTCATTAACTGTGAATTATATCAAGGGTTATATTTTCATTCAGGATCTAGAGCCATGGACAGTTTGGTTCATGTCTATGTGTGGGGGGGAAGGAGAGGGTAATACAATTTTCTTCCTGTTTTACTATCTTTTGATTGACATGTGTTTATTCTGACTTAAACTTCACCAGAAAGTTAGACTGGAAAGGAAAAAGATAAGAGGCCTTCATTTAAAGATAGCTCCCCAATTCTACATACATCAAATACAAAGTAAGGACATTAATTTAGTTCTTAAGACTGAAAAAAAATCACACAAAATATTCAATCATGCAGCACAATCGCCCTAATTTTATGCAATTTCTATAAAACAAGCTGCAAAATTATAATTGTGTGGTTTTGTTGGTATTTTAAATACCAGTCACATCCTGCTTTGAATTTTCTTCTTGAAAAGAGGTTAACCAAAATAAGCAGATTAAATGTGATTTGAAAAGCTGATCCGTTCCTTCCCAGAGTCAAATCAAGCTAATGACATGAGACTAGACTTAACAGAGCTTTGAATGATGAGCTACATATGATTGTCTACCAAAACAAATAACTATGTGCTTAGTTCACCTGAAGTGCACATTCAAAATATTGCTTTTACATTTTTTAGCTTGCATTCTTTAAAGTTAATTTTATTTGTTGCATTTTGGAAAAGTGTATTGCAAATAGGTTGTGTTAGTGGAATGGGAGAAAAACATCAGGTCCAAAAGTCGGTAACTAATAGGGACGTGATGGGATAACTGCCCAACATACAAACGAGTTATTTATAACTTCTCCATCTAAACAAAAACAAAGTGAAACATGAATTCAAAGTGACTCTGGCAACTAATGTAAAGTTCACCCTTAATGAAAACTTTACTTAGTCTCACTGGCTTAATGCTGCCCATATTAGCCCCAGTCCTGCCAATGGGTCAGAAAAGCATGACCCCTGCTCATCTGGGAAGTCACGTTGACCTATATGAGATTCCATACTCAGGTAATGATCCATGTTTGTAGAGCTCTTTGCAGGACTGGAATCAGGAAATGCAAGGTCACATGCTGTGCCATTTGTGGAAAAGTAGGGCAGAGCTTTGGCATGAACCACACAGCTCTCTAGTCATCCACTGGGGATTTGCTCAGAGGCTGCTGTAAAAGGATTAATTTTGCTGTAAAAAAGGCAATTTAAATTAAAAAACAAGCTCAGTTGCAGGGATTTTCCCTTGAAAGGAAGGGCTCTATTAGCATCCACAGAAGAATCCAACAGCTGCAGTAGGAAGCATTAAAAATTTTAGAGATACATCATGGCTGCATCTAGACTGGCAAGTTTTTCCGCAAAAGTAGCTGCTTTTGTGGAAAAACTTGCCAGCTGTCTACACTGGCCGCTTGAATTTCCTCAAGAACACTGACGATCCCATGTAAGATTGTCAGCGTTCTTGCAGAAATGCTATGTTGCTCCCATTCGGGCAAAAGCTCTCTTGCACAAATGCTTTTGAGCAAGAGGGCCAGTGTAGACAATGCAGTATTGTTTTGCGCAAAAAAGCCCCAATCGCAAAAATGGCGATCGGGGCTTTCTTGCTCAAAACCGCGTCTGGATTGGCATGGACGCTTTTCCGCAAAAAGTGCTTTTGCAGAAAAGCGTCCATGCCAATCTAGACACTCTTTTCCACAAATGCTTTTAACGGAAAAAGTTTTCTGTTAAAAGCATTGGCGGAAAATCGTGCCAGTCTAGACGTAGCCCATGTCTTTGACAGCTCTGTATACTCCAGGAAGTTAGACGGTGTTAGAATAGGATCCTGCAAAGTTAGGGCATCAAATTTTTTACTAAAAACCATGTGCTAGCACAATGTAATTTCCCAGTCTAGACTAGCCCATAACCACTGGAAACAGACAGAAGACCATCCAGTCCACGTCTTTGCTACTGTTTGCTAAAGAAAATGTTCTAGTATTTTGCCTTGTCTAGAATTAAAAGTTCAAGGTGAACCTTGTAAGACTATTCAATGGCCTCAAAGATCTAAGGTAAAAAATACATTTCCTAACATGGAGCCCACATTTTCTGTTTCCTAAGTTTCATCCCAGTGTTTGTAACTATATCTCCATGTATCATACTAATCCATTTCCCCTCTTTCTTGGAGTTTGTCTTTCACATATTATCTTACTCTTCCTTTGTCATCTCTTAGCCAAAATTAGTTAGCTCTTTTATTCTTTCCTTGTCAATCATTTCCGTCAATCAATTATCATTCTGATTGCTCTTCTCTGACTTTCCTCTGAACAATCTATCATTAGTTTTTCTAGCAGCAAAGTGCACAAAGCTGAATGCAGTCCTCCATGGATAGTCACACTAGAGCTATGTAGAAAAGTCCATGTTGTAATGCCTTTCTGTGTTGTAATGCCTTTATGTATGCAACCCCAAATCATGTTCATGTTGCCTTTTTTAACACTGCAAAGACCCCCCCCCCCTGCTTTCAGCAATTCATTTTCCAAGATTTCTTCTTGAATGAGTTGTGTGTATTTTGGATTATTTTTCTCCAGATGCTTTAGCTGGAACTTTTCAAATTAAATCTCACTATGATATTTTCTACCCAATTTTCTAACTTTTGTCTCGCTGTTTTGGTTTTTTTTTTTTTTTTTTTGCAGCTCCTCCCAATTTCCTGGATTTACATTACTCTTTCTCCCACATTTATTCAAGAAAATGTTAAAGAAGACTACCCCTAACAGCAATCCATGCAGAATATCATTGGGCATCAACTCCAATACACTGTTTTGACACTATTATGTTATTACCCTTGATCCATGCATACAACCCTCCTTGATAGCAGCAGGAGTTGTACCTACAGATCAGCATTTAAAATGACCCTTAGATTTTTGTGTTTAAATGCTCATTTAAGCAATGTCTTTGCAAGAAAGATTTTGAAGACTCTTGTCCCTCCCTTCTTCTCCCTTCTCCCCACCCATAAAGCTTTAAAGCCTCAGATGTGGTTGTGACAGTTTGCTCCTTCAAAGAGTGACCAAAAAAAGGCCTGAAACAGATCTCCTATTTACAAGATAAAAAATTAAATTCTACTGGCACAAATGTTATTACATTTACCAATAAGAATATTCTTACCAAAAAGGGCAGGTGCTTTCATTCAGCTAGGGAACACAAACAATACCATATTCTCTGATTGACCAACGAACACTAAACAACACAGCTTGACTAGAGGAAAGTTTACCACTGTGCAGAAAACCAGTCAAAGATGAATCCACCACTCCTCTTAACTCTCACAACTTTGAGAATTTTATGTGGTTAAAGTGATTATTTGGCTTTATGATGTTTATCTGAACAGTGGTGAATTTCACCAGCTGTGAATAACACAATTAGCAGAAAATTATTTAGGATCATTCCAAAGAGTGTAGTCAAAAAAGTGCTGAAGAATTTCAAATAACTAATACATTTCTGCAAACCCCAGTTTGCTTGGGAATATTCATAAGCCGAAAAATTCTATTGGACTGAAAACCTCACCTCATCTCCATCACCTCCCTTCGGCTTTCTTCATATTTGTCTTTCCATTCAGATACTTCTCTTTCTTTTGCCACAGTCTATACAGAGGAAGAGGAAACAGGTTGTATGAAAATTAGATAAATCCAAATAATTCATTAAGACAGCTAATTAACCAGATACTAGAACTAAATTGTATTTTAATGGGTTACACAATCACTTTTTCAGTTTAATATTCAAACTGTTTCTCAAACTTTTGCTAGAGAAAAGCCGGAGCTACAGATTTTGTATCTAGATTTAGATTCAAATCTATATATAAAATCCAAGGAATTGTCCATTTCCAACCAAAGGCCTGCATTCAGAAGCGTGTCTATAGAAACCAATTCAGACTTTCACCAGCTCTTTTGAAAAGTGGCCAGTCTTGCGTTAAAATTTATGCTCATCCCTAATTACCCTTAGATAATTTTCACAGTGCTATTCTATTCCTCTGTAGATGGAGTGCTCTTATATCTGATTTCACAAGGGATCAAATTTCCAAACTCTTATGTAGGTGTTGAGTGATGCCTTCAGGATCTGCCTGAAGGAAGGTTCTACTTTTCTGCATGTATGTCTGAATTGAGTAATCACAGAATCATAATATTCATAACTTATGTTTCTCCTTGTCCCTCCCTATCCTGGTATATGTTATAGCCACACAGTTTCTATTTTTCCAACATTTCATTGCATCATCTTATCAGGCAGGGTCCAGGCTTTCTTGTTTTCTCTAGAGCACCATGTAGGCACTATAAAAGAATAAAAAAGCAGAACCTCATAACATTTGTTCTAAAAATAACATTCCATTGTTCAAGTTGCACAGATTGCAGGTAAGTGCATAGTGCTATGTAAAATAAATAATACAAGTTTCCATATACTGGGTCTGATCTCATATACATCAAGCAAATAATACTCCCATTTTAAGTGCCTTTTGCACTGCCAGGGCAGTAAATGAGAATCAGGACCACAGTTTTCAGTACAGACTATGTCAAGTTCAGGGGAATGGGTTTCGAGAAAACTAGAAAGAAGTAAGCTGCCAACAGAAGATACTTATTTCGAGAACCTAAAAATAGTTACCTCCTCTCTGGCAATTCGTAGTGCAGAATCCAAATCTTGTTGTTGGTAGAGAAGACCTGAGGTATTTTCTGCCTCAGAAGTACTGATTCGTGAATACAGAGTACTTTTCGAGATGGAAACGTCTGCTGGGATAGCAGGCTCTTTCTGTATTTTTTTAATAAAAAAAATTGAGCATCATTATTTATGGGTTTACTAATAGTTCAGCTGGCTTTTTAGTGGGACAAATGAAACAATGAGGAAATGTAACCTTAACAATGAATGGAAAACAAAGTGTCAATATGTTAACATTCATCATTTTGTTTTAATATAGAAAGCAATAAAGATAATGCTGGGAAATCTAACATTTTGAAGCCATGATCAGAACTTCTCAAAACTATTCTACACCTAGGGGCAGGGGGAAGAGAGGGGGAGAAATATCCAGCAATAAGAGCATCCGAGGAAAGAACACAAGAAAAAAACTGAAGTAGTCATCCTTGAAATTTCAGTCACACAGTATTTAAAATTACAGGAAAAGATATGCTAAAAGACACTGTACCTCACCCCATTTCTGACCAAAGTATCATATTCTATAGATAGTAGTAGGGTACTTCAATACTGGTGATGCTATTTCTCTACCTATATTTAACATTCAAGTATTCTATGAAAGATTAATAAGTTAAATCCAGTTTTATTTCTAAAAGGCCAGTTTTACTCATCCTAGTCACATGAATAGTTCAGATCAGGTCAAAAGGACTACTTGACTGAGGAAGACAAACACAGTCCGGCTCAAAGGTACAAATAAAATGAGAAATGGGAAAAATGGGACGAGAGCTAAAAAAACTACTGTGCAAAAGTTATATGCATTATCTTACAAATAATACAGTAAACCTAACCAATGCAGGATACCTTACATTCAGGGCTAGCCACAGCAAAGTTATAAAGATTATAAGAAAGAATTAGGAGGATGCTAAAAATAAATAATCACTGTTTTAAAGAAATACATGTGAAGGGTGAAAATTGCATAAGAATTGTTTCATATATGGAAGAAGAGGGTAGTGAAAGAGATGGTCCAATATAGGAAATTTATTGTTGGAAATAACAGCATTTTTATGCAATGCTGTACAGTATTTCAAAAATTTTTGGTGTATGCTCAGAGTGCCTTAGGGAAGTAATAACATCTTGACTTTATAGATGGGGAAATGAGGCACTAGAGACTGATGAGCAGGCTTGATATTCGTGCAAAGTCAGTAGAAACAACCACTCAGATCAGAGAGCATTTCATGTCCACTATGTACTAATGTACATGACTACATAAAGTCCATGGAAATGAAAAATCAGGCCCTACATGACTTGTGCAATGTCACAAGGGAAGTCCAAAGTAATGTTTAAGACTGAACCCAAGTGTTCTCATTCCCAGTCCAATGTTTTAACTAAAATGTAATATCCTTGTTTAAGATGGTAATATCCTTGTTTAGAAAGGTCTAGGGATTAAAGACCTATACATTCTAACAAGTCTCAAATATGCATAAGAAAAATGGTTTCGCCTTGTTCAAATCTAGTTTAATGGGTTAGTCAGTTTAAATTACCATCACACACTATTAAAAATAAACAAAAGCAAACCAAAAACATCATTTCCACATGCACACTCTTTTAGTCAGTAGATGAGACTTTGCAGTAAAGGGGACTTTAGTAAGATACAAAATTCTTAAGAAAAAAGAACTGATGCTCAAGAATCTTTTTGAGCTGTGACATATAATACTAGGAAAAATGGGACAAACTTCTGTTAAAGAAAGGTCAGGTATCAGGGAGCTTTAGTTTAACTATTTATTCAGAACTGCTAATGTGTTAACTAAAATATTAAAAGGTAAAAATAGACACAACTTGCTTTATCTAATAAGTAGCCATGTAGACCAAAGTTTCATGGATAGGACTGAAGATGCTGACATAACTTGTGACATTCAATTAATAGTGTATCTACAAAAACACTGCATGTGACAGCTATGGGATCCATGCCTTGAATTTGGCTTCCTTAGGATTTGCCTTTATTGCTACTACTTTGTTTGGGGTATTCATAGTTCTTTTGGGGTTGTTAGTACAGATTGAACCTCTGTGGTCCAGGACTCTCTGGTGTGGCAATATCCATGGTCAGGCACAACCACGGCTGTTGCTAGTGGCTGGGAACTCAGCTAGTCTGGCAGCAGGCAGCCTGCAGGGACAGTGTCCTGGGAGCAGAGAGCCAACCCAGCAGGCTGGTGGCTGCGGCAGGGGTAAGCGGGGAGCCCCACCAACCAGGAGGTGAGCACCACTGGCCAGGACCATGGAGGCGCTGCTGGCCAGGACCGTGAAGCCTCAGCAGCCAGGAGTAGAGCTCTGCCCACCAGGGACAGCAACCCCTGGCAGCCAGAATGTGAACCCCTATGGCCAGAGGCGTAGAACTACCACTGCCAGCTGGGGGCAGGGAGGCCTGGCGATCGAAAGAGAAGCTCTGCCAGCCAGCGGTATGGCGCCCCTGTGACCAGGGGCAAGGAGCGGCTGCTGGGTGGGGGCAGGGAACCCCGATAGCCAGAGGGGAGATGCGGCCCAGAGTGGAGTCCCGTCTGTGGGATGGGGGCAGGGCACTGGCTGAGCCAGTGGCCAGAAGGGGAGGCCCAGGAGAACCCAAGGCCTAAACACCCCGATCTGGCAAACTCCCTCCTTCGGGACCACTCAGGTCCTGAGGATGCTAGACCAGGGAGGTCCAACCTGTACTGCGTTGTTTATATCCAAGTTGTATTTGATCCTGTATGTTGAAAGCAAAATTCAAATAAATGTACAAAGTGCAGATGAATTTAAGATTCTACTTACTTTATTCAATAAGTTAAAATGGCTCCCTAAAGTATTTGGCCTATTAACTAACCCTCAAAACATCCCTGCCAAACAGGTATTACTCTCATTTTTACCAACTCGGAAACAGAGAAAGTGAAATGACTTTCCCAAAAACACATAGTCCACAGTATAATTTTGCATTCATCCATAAATCCATGGAGCTGCTTCCTTTCCTTACAAGTGTATATTGAACCATTCAAGAATAGTTTGTTCCTAAGTATACCTCACTCTGCAATATGGTTGTCTCATTTTTAATATTATAGCATATGGCTATTTTATTTCTATAATTTCTATGGTGCTTGTTACAGTTGTTTTCCATTTGTTAGGGTCAAGTGAAAAATTTATAGCAAATACAGTTCAATATTTTTCTTATATTACTGTTCCAGAATGATCCCAAAGCGGAATGCAATGTTCTCTTATAAATTATTTGCTGTTATGACCACTAATAATACCAGCTCTGTACCTCATTTGTTGCATTAGATTATATTTGACACAAGTGATATGGCATGTCCCTGTTCTGACAGAATAAGTGTACTCTTACTATTATGCTTCCACTCTGAATATATACTTTTCTGAATTTCAAGTTTGTTTTCTAGGATTATACAATATTTGCCCAGATTCATTCTCCCAGCAAACATTCCCAGCAGTTAATTTGCTTGCTAGAATATTCATAGAAAGCAAAATCAAATGTGGACACAGATACACTAACAAGATCATTGAAGAATCTGAATGAACATTTGAACAATCTTTTCCCCAGCTCTGCTATTCACAGAGGTATCATGTATTATGGTCATCAAGACTAACAGCATACACTTTATAATGAAAGCCAATGGAAATGGGGAGAATTTACAGCAAACTGATCAGTTATGTTTATGACCAGCCTACAAGTGCCATGGGGGTGGGGGAGAGTCATATTAACAAATCTAAAAGTTACTATTAAAATGGAACAAGGAGTTTCAGCACCAATTTTTTGACAATCAAACACTAATTTCTTTGTTGAAAAACAGTATTTCATATGGTTGAAAAACAGTATTTCATATGGTAGTGTCCACCTTTGCTTTACAAGTTCCTGATGCACTTGACAGCTTTGTCAAAAGAAAGAAACAATACTGAACTGCAGAAACTCAGACTTCGGATCAACATTTTCCCCAGATGCTCAGCTAGGGCACATCTACAATAAAGGGGAAGGTCGACTTAAGATATGCAACTCCAGCTATGTTAATTACGTAGCTGGAGCTGACGTTTCTTAAATCACCATCCACGCAGCAGGAGATCGACAGGAGCTAACACTCCCATCGGCTTCCCTTACTCCTCGTGCAGAGCAGAATTACTGGTGCTGATGGGGGGTCCCTTTGAGTTTGAATTAGCGGTTCTTCACTAGACCAGCTAAATTGAACCCACAAGATTGACTGCGGCAGCATCGATCTTTAGTGTAGTGTAGACATGGCCCTACGGTCTTGGATATCGCAAAATTCATGAAGGATTGTCCTGTTTCACAGAAACTCAATGTTATGCAATGGAATAACAGGTAGAACAGGTGCAACACTAAAGAACCAGGGCTGTACCTGATCTGCAGCAAAATAACGTATCCCAAACCACCACAATGATATCACAATTACAGAGAATGCAATGATGGGGATGTAACTTATTTCTCAAAAAGTTCATTTATGCTTGGAAACAAGCACATAAATAACAAAATAATTTTTTTCAATATTCTCTTAAACCAGAGCAATCCAGATAAAAAAAGAACTCCCTATATCATTTGTACTAACTACGGCATGATCAATGAGATTGTGCTTTACAAAAACCTTGCAGCACTTCACAGAGTTCCTCTTCACAGAGGTCATCAGCCTCATCCGTCATACACAATATTTCAAATTCTGATAAATCATCATCTGACATCAACTCATATCTGTTGCTAAAACTTATAAAACCAGTCCTTCCGTGTAAACAAAAATGCCACAATGCACAAGCATTTGGGTAACAGAATACATAGCCATTAATAATTATTCCTTTTCAATGAACCATCCATTATTTTCATTTCTGATCCATATTTCAAACCTCCATTTAACATTATGTACTACGTTTTCATGGCTTTC